GTCACCCAGGCTGCAGTGCAGTGGCCGGATCTCAGCTCACTGCAAGCTCCGCCTCCGGGTTCATGCCATTCTCCTGCCTCAGCCTCCCGAGTAGCTGGGACTACAGGCGCCCGCCACCTCGCCCGGCTAGTTTTTTGTATTTTTTAGTAGAGACGGGGTTTCACCGTGTTAGCCAGGATGGTCTCAATCTCCTGACCTCGTGATCCGCCTGTCTCGGCCTCCCAAAGTGCTGGGATTACAGGCTTGAGCCACTGCGCGCAGCCAGCCTTAACTATTAAACTACAGCATTGGGAAGTTTCCATTGCGCTTTCCAGAAGGAACCTAGAGCAGCCAATTTTGAGCTTGCAAAGGCATAAACTTTGGGAATAACTATGACATGAACCCCCAAATTCCTGTTCCCTGGATGGCGGAGACCAAGAGAAAGTACTGCCACATGGTTACAAGGTCAAGTTCCCAAGGACATTTTTCAACATGTGGTCTCTGGGCAAGATGAAAGAATGGACAGTTAACCTAACAGAAAAGTCAGAAAAGAGAAAGAAGAGAAAGAGAAACACAATTAGGAAACAGCTGTCCTGGGGTTGTCATAAGAACCAACTTAGATCAAGTATATGAAACTTCTTTAAAACCTATTTCTTGAAAGGACACAAATGTATCGCAGGTAGTACAGAGGCAACTAGAATTTAAGAATAGGGCTGGCCCTGGAAAGCTATACCATAAATCAATGAATACTGAATCAAACACAGTGATGGAATAAGGGAGAAAGCCTGGATAGGAGACAGCCTGCTTGCCTCAATAGAATGCCTAAAGAAGGAATCGCAAGACAATGGTAAGTTTTATCAGAAATGGAAGTTAGAGAAAGGCCGCTTTGGGAGGGAAGTGTTGACTGTGCCCTGCTGAGCTCTGCCACAGGGAGGGAGGGGTCTGACCTTTGTAGCCTAGCTGTTTAGTGCTTGTGGCAAAAATATCCACATGGGGGTGACAAAGACTCTCTGTGACCAAACAGTCAAGCTCCCCTGAACCTTCTTTTTATCTAGGCCTTGTCCTTGAACCCTGTCTTTGGCCTGCCTAGTCCAGCTTTAGCAAGAATTCTGCTAACTTAGTTCAGAGAGAATGCCCCACCCTCTATATTGGATCAAGTTTCTCCTCCCTTGTCTTTGACATGTAAGTCCTTGAACTGGAATTCAGCAAGAATCCCATTAAGCCACTTTATAAGAATCCCCTCTATCCCTGATGTCTCCTCCTAGTGATTTTTTGTGACAGACCCCCTCACCCTGCTTACTGGTTAGAAATCCCTGAATTCAAAGTTGAACCTGATTGCTCCTCTATTGCCGTAATCTTGACACCTATTGCAATGCAAATCTGAACAAGTTTCTACACTTTCCCTGCTTCCCATTACCCCCAGGAACCCTCAGATTCTGCTCCTGCCTCCCACTCTGTATTCAGGCTCAAGTTCACTGATGAAGTAGGCTCAATTTTGTTTTGTTTTGTTGTTTTTGAGGCAGAGTCTCGCTCCCGCTCTGTCGCCCAGGCTGGAGTATGATGGCATGATCTCGGCTCACCGCAACCTCTGCCTCCTGGGTTCAAGTGATTCTCCTGCCTCTGTCTACTGAGTAGCTGGGATTACATGTGTCCACCACCATGTCTGGTTAATTTTTGTATTTTTAGTAGAGATAGGGTTTTGCCATGCTGGCCAGGCTGGTCTCAAACTCCTGACCTCAGGTGATCAGCCCGTCTTGGCCTTCCAAAATGCTGGGATTACAGGCATGAGCCACTGCACCTGGCCAGGTTCAATCTTTATAAGCACCCTGTGATCTCTGTTTCTGAGCTTTTAAAATAATATCTTTTCCTTGTCTAACAAACATTGTTTTCTTTCTAATTAATATCTTCACCTCTCTCAGGCCCTGCCAGACTTTTAAAATCTGGGTTATATGCCCTTCTTCTGTGATTCCATGGTACTGTGCACCTCTTCTATCATTGTGCTTGTCAAAATGAAATATAATTCATTTTGTCTGTGTAATTAACTTTCTCAAATTTTTATTATCAGATCATAAATGAGGAAGAGAAGGTAACTGTATTTTTATTGTACCGTCGTCATGTTGTTTCACATATGGAAAATGTCTAAAACATTGAGAATTACAATTGAACTTGAGATTTGGGTGGGGACACAGATTGAAACCATATCAGACATCTATAAGGGCTTCAGTTTTATAGCTGAGATAGTTTTCCTCATAGAGTCTCAGGCAGGGTTACGAAATGTTAAGGATAGATTGAAGTAGGTCATTGAACTAGACTACAATCTATTTTGAAGCTATCTAACTGTTTAGAATCATACTAGGTTTGCAGTTCTGTTTAAATTCTGTCTTACCTAAGCAAGACAGAGCACATAATTTATAATATAAAATAAGGCAGCTCCTGACCAGCTGTTATGTATTTTTACAGAAGAGCTGGCAAATGTAAGCATAAATTGCAGTAAGATATGCAAAATAAAGACTGGATGGCAAGGGGGGGATGGGTTAGAAGTGAAATAGCCTATGAGAGACACTTGCCTAGAGATAGTTCCCATCTCAGTATGTGAAGTGTTTATAGATAGATCGTAACAAGTATAATTTTTCTTAATGGAACTTGGTTCTGGGATTCCATCATGCATCATTTAAAAAAATCAAAATGGAATCTTCTCAAGATTAAAACAAGTATGTTAATTCAACAAGGCTTATTTCATTGTATACAAAAATATACAGTAGTTCCAGCTACTCAGAAGGCTGAAGCAGCAGGATTGAGCTCAGGAGTTGGAGGCTGTAGTGCACTATGATCAGGCCTGTGAATAGACACAGCTGGGCAACATGGTAAGGCCCTTTCTCTAAAAACGATACATACATATATATATGTGTGTGTATACACACACACACACCTCAGGTATATATATTTGATAATCTGTTGTATTTTTACATTTTTCCTTTATTATGATTTTCTTAACTAGAGATTTTATATTTCAAGGAAGGAATGGCATGATGAAACCAATAAGATCTGGCTGGTCTTTCTGTTTCTTGTTACCAGATTCTAAATCTTTCCCCTTATCTGGCTCAGGATTCAGGTGTACAGCAGATAATTCCATTCCCATCAAGGTATTGACTGAGATTAAAAAAAAAGGGGGAGTCACCCCTGAAACCCCACCTGCCTCACATTATGAATTCCTCACTGGCAAACAATACTCCCCATTGTCTTTGCTTCATTCATAGCTCACAGTGTCAAACCTGTTAGAGCCTGGAAGCAGCTGCCCAAACTCACTTAGATTGCAGTGAGCTGAGATCTGGCCACTGCACTCCAGCCTGGGCGACAGAGTGAGACTTGTCTCGGAAAAAAAAAAAAAAAAAAAAGAAAGAAGAGAAACAAGTAAAAGGGTAAACTGAAGTTAGGAGGAGATTCAATGTATCAAAGTATCATTTTATGTTTTTGAGTGTAAGAATACTCAATATTCTTATGGGTGTGAATTTACTTTATATTAAAAAATGATAAAACTTACCATGTATTAGGTACTTTACATACTACAACTTATTATACACATTCAGTTAGGTACTTTCTCTACATGATAGAACTTAATATATACATTCAGTATACACTTAGTATACACAAATATACCCAGTTTGATTCCCTCCATTTTTAAAGCCCAAGTTCTTTCCTCTAACATATGCTGCCTCAGAGAAAGCAAAGCCCCAAAGACAATCTCATTTGAGATTTTATCAGCTTGTTTATTTAGTTAAAAAAAGAAAAGAAAGAGAAAAAAAGGAACGCATGTGTGAAATGAGTCTGTCCAGGGTATCCAAAGATCACGAGGGGCCAGTATTTGCCATTGGAGGGGCTGTTTCTTCCTCTCCGCCTCCTTGCTTCCCTGCGCTGCACCTCTAGGTGAACCTTCAGCATGCCGCGCGGTGATGCGAAGGTGAGGGCAGTGCGCAGAGGAAGTAAATGGGGACTGCAGGGGACCAGAGACGTGAGATAGTCCTTAAAATGCATATTTAATCTGTCCTCGTCACTTTCCACAGCCACCACCCTATTCAACTATTCGGTAATAACCTTGTAATTCTCCACTCTCCAGTCTGCCCTCCCCAAACCCTTCTCGGTAGGCAACTCCTCAGAGGATCACCGGGTGGAGTCCTTGTCCCTTCTGAACCTTCCGTGGCTGCTCACTGCTCCGAGGACCAAGTTAAACATCCTTGAGGTTGTTAACTGCACGTCCTGGCCCCTACTCTGTACAGTAGCTTCTACATCTGACCGTGTATCCACCTGTTCACCGTGCTTCAGCCACCTGGCCCTTTCCTCCAGCTTCTTTGCACAACTGGTCTGTTTTGGCTCCTGCTTTAATCTCAGCTTTGATGCCACATAAGCCTTTCCTAGCTGATTCCCGCCCTCACCCCCGTTACCCGCCATCTAATTAGAGCTCTCTAAATGTGCTTCAACAGCACCCTTCATGTCACTGATTGCAATTTGCATTGAATACTTGCCTGATTATTTTTAACGTCTGCAAGTGCCACATGGGTTTAGCCCTGCTCCTGACAAGCACACTGCTGAACTGAGTAACTTTTGAATGAATGAATGAGTGAAGGTCCTACTTGGCACTGTCATCGTCCTATCATCAAAATATTTCGAGTCCCTCGGTGTTGCTATCCTTGGCATGCCCATCCCCGCGGGCTGGCAAAACCCTGGAGGGGGCAGCCTTCCAAGGCACCGCCGCGGACTCAGCCCCTCCAGGAAGGACTCCCCCCGCACCATGCGGCGAGGGGCGGGTCCGGCGGCGAGGTGTCCTGCTGCCTAACAGGTTCACGTGTACTGGTGCAGGTGGGGAGGAGGGGAAGGAAGGAGCGCAGCAGGGAGCGCCAGATACGTGGAGGGGAGCGCGGGCGGCGCCTGGCTCGCCTCCGGCCTCGCCGTCGGTCACTGCCTGGGAGCGCGACTTCCTCCTCTGGGGGCCGACGTGCGGGGCGGGGAGGGGCGGGGCGGGAGACGCCCCCGCAGGGCTGGGCTCAAAGCCGCCCCAATAGGATTCGGTGCGGGGCAGCGGCTGCGCCCCGTCCCGGCGCCGCGCTCTGCCGCGGAGGAGGCGGCGCGGCCCCGGCAGCTGCGGCGCGGGGTCCGTCGAGGGGAGGCCGAGCCTGCCAAGCTGGCGCCCAGCGGGGTCATGGTGCCCGGCGCCCGCGGCGGCGGCGCGCTGGCGCGGGCTGTCGGGCCGGGCCTCCTGGCCCTGCTGCTCACGGTCTGCGCCCCGCTCCGGCTGCAGGCGGAGGAGCTGGGTGAGTGGAGAGCGTCCGGCTGGCGGCGGGCCCCGGGGCCCCGGGGGCGGGCTGCGGGGCGGGCCGGGCCGGGCCTCAGGGGACGGAGCGCGGGAGGAAGTCGGGCTCGCTGCCTGCTATCCGCGGAGTCCGGCTCTGCCCGCGGGGCTGGGGGCGAAGTAGGTTACTGCATTACGTATCGCTCCCCCACCAAACTCCTTCCTTCCCCCCAAACCAGAGAATCAACCTGGCGTCTCTGCACTTTCTCTCTTCGCCGCCCCCCAGCCCATTTCACTTAGTTTCCAGACTTCCTGACTCTGCTGGCCCCGTGAGAAGTGACCTGACCCCGAGGGTCGCCTTAGGGGACAGGCGTGTTTAGGGCGGGTTCTCCCCAGCCGCCTTTTGACAAAGCCGCTCCTCTGCCGGCGCTGGGCCCTGCCCTCCCTGCCGCTGCTCCTCCCGCGCGGAGTTGGAATCCTGGCGTGTGCGTTCTGGGCTCGTGCGGAATGGCCGGGGCACGTTTGCCGAGGTTGGCCTTGGACGCGGGCGAGCAGGCGGTGCTGCCACCTCCTCCCGAGTGTCCTGCTGGCGCCGCAAGTTGGAATCCTGTGGCTTCCTGTGTATCTGAGCGGGTAGACTCTCAGCCAGGCTGCTTTTTCTCTGGAACTGGTCTTTGACTTGGAGTTAGACCTAATTAACCCACAACCGAGTTTACACTCTGTCTAGCAGATTAAAGCAGCAACCCCGTTAACCAGCCCTGGGTGTCCCTGTTTCATTCATCCTCATTAATTAGTGTTTTTTGGGTTTTTTTTTCATAGCAAGGGCCAGCTTTCTGCCGAGTTGTTTCAGTGTTTCCTCTCCTCCCTTGCTCCTGGCCCTATATGCCTGAGCTTATTTAATGGCTCTTAGTCTATCCGGAGTACTTTGACAGCTCCCCCAGCCACCGTGCTTTCTGGTGAAACAACAATCAAGACTAAAACCGGTGTTGGCATTTTTTTTTTTTTTCCACTGAACTATGCCTCCATTCTGAAACATTGATACTCGAGATGGTGGTGGTGGTTCCTAAGTTTATGTGACATACCAGTTTGTTTAAAAAAACAAAATCCCTAAAACCCTGAAGTTATTTTGTCTGGTACTGTAGCACAGTACTAGGCAGACTGTAAAATTACAGCAAATACGTAAGATTTTGTTAAATGCGTAGGACTTTTATAATGGATGTTTTAAATATTTTTATTTTTTTCTCAACTCACTGTTTGAAGGTGCACCTTTAATACTATATGCCTGTGAGAATCATTCCAACAGTATGTTCCTGTACTAATCTGACCAAAGCTGTCGCTTAATCTTTTCCAATAAAGTTTTAAATTTTGTATGGTCATCCAGGCTGTTAACTGGGCACTTTGTGAGAGCAGTTCTCTAGGAACAAGTGTGATTGCTTAGATTCTTTTTTAAAAATTATTATCATTATTATTATTTTTGAGACAGGGTCTCACTCTGTCGCCCAGGCTGCAATGCAGTGGCACGATCTCAGCTCACTGCAGCCTGAACCTCCTGGGCTCAAGCCATCCTCCCGCCTCAGCCTCCTGAGTAGCTGGGACTACAGGGGCAAGCAACCACGCCTGGCTAATTTTTGTATATTTTATAGAGACAGGGTTTAGCTATATTACGCAGGCTGGTTTTGAACTCCTAAGCTCAAGTGATCCGCCCACCCGGGCCCCCCAAAGTGCTGGGACAACAGGCATGTGGTTGCTTAGATTCTTACTGGGCTTCAAATCTGAAACTTTATTGCAGTTGACTGATGGAAGAAGATAGTATCATTGGAGTTTCCATGAAACATCCTATATATTCAGGATATTAAAAGAACCAGTGAAGGAGCAGATATTCAATCACACACAAAGAGTAAAGCTTAGATTTGGGACATTTACTGAAACACATCTAGGAATTCCAGTGCTGATACTTCTTGAGTGAAATATCGGTTACTTTTGAATATTATTTTTGAATATTTCTCACATCTGTGATTTTCCCAACTAGCACTTGGTCACTTATTTTTTGAGTTTTCATGGAGTTAAGCATGCACACCTATTTTTAGATCTTGAGATATACTTTTGGCTATTTAATTGGATGGTGGTGATAAATGATAGTAGTGCTTTCAGTGTTTAGGAGAGAGCAGCTTTGTCTGTTTTTGGCGAGAAGAAAATAGCAATTTTTGCATTTCAGTTTCATTGTTTTTGTAGTCAGCCTAGCCTGGTGGTTCTTGGTTCTCCCAAGCTTCCCAACCTATCTGATCACGCATCTCCCTAGAGATGTATAAAGTTCCCACCCCTTATTTTGAATCAAATTCTAGTGGGTGAAGCTTGGGAATATACACTTGGAAAAAAGTTACCTCAGGTAATTCTGATTCTAATCAGCTGTGAGACCGTGAAAACATTTTGTAATGTTAGGGTTGTGATAAAATGCTACCATCTGTGTTATAAGCAATTTCGTGTTAGACTTTTATTTATTGTGTGGTTTTAGGAACCAAATGCCATAATTTAACCTCAATGTGTATAAGCCTAATCAGTACAATTAATTAAATTTTTTTGTGTCAGAGTCTGATGACCCCATAAAGCTATACTGGGTCCTTTGTAGGGCAACTGTTTGCCTATCTGGTGTTTCTCTTGAATTACATTTTTAAAAAAGTGTCCACCCCTCCCATTGTTTGCAGCCAGCCAGGTCCCAGGCATTTGGGTTTAGTGGCCAGAGCTTGGGATTATTTCGGCTCCTTATGGCCCTGTTCCTCTGCATCCACTTAACTAAAGGTACATATTTACATAGACTGTTTCACATAATTTTGACCTTTGATAATAAGACGTTAAGTTGATCATTCGTTTTTATTCAACTTGTGTAAATTCATAGGTTTGGATTTAGTCCAAATTTACCTTGACATAAATTTTTGTAGCATAAAATACCCTTCATTTGTGTAATGAATTTCTGCAACCTAAAACTCTCTGCTTCTCTGTCCACCACAAGATTTGCAAATGGTTATTAGCTAAAGTTTTCCCCCTTGTGATATAAATGAAGAATCAAAATGAGCGCTTGACCTCTGAGGAAACTTCTAAGTATAGATTCAAATCTTGCATACTTAAAAATTCTTCAAAACCCTCTGCCCAACTCTTAATTTGTTATTTAGAAGGTCTGCTGTTAAATCATCTGTCATTTATTTTGGGTTTAGACATAGGATCAACTGATAGATGATGTTTTAGGTGAGTGGCTTTTTCAGAAGTCAGCACAAGTTTATTCATTCACCTTCTGTACCAGTGTGTGCACTTACCCTTCTCTTGTCTCATCTGGACAGCCAGCCTTGTAGACTCTAAGATCCTGAGGGCAGAGATTGGGACTATATAGTCTTTGTCTTCCTAGTATCTGACAAAGGTGCTCAGTGTTCCTTGAGTTGAACTGAACAATCTCTTTGTGTTTAGGATCTATTTTCAAATTACTTCCTAACTAGTGGAAACCAAGTAATAAAGAGCCTACTGACAATCTTTATAAAGGTGTACATCTGCTGCTTCTACTAATTAATTTTGTTTATCAAGCCCAGCTCTCTTGGCATGCTTATTTCTATATGTAAGGATGCCTTTTAAATGAAAATACAGCAGAAAAAAGGGAACAAGCCAGCAGAACAATATGTACAATATCTTTTGGCTCTGGTAGATATAATTTGTACACTCAGAAACAGTAAGTTATATATTAATATTTCAGAGAGGAAAGAGATTGTGTTAAAGAATTCATTAAACAAATCAAATGATATGTTTAAAGCAGAATTCGAACTCTGAATAATGTCCCAAACGGCTTTTATTAACTTTTCATGTTACAATTTGAACCCTTTAGCCTTGTGGAACTGCCACAGACTTGAAAATCATATTTTAAAAAACCACAACTTGGAAACAAGTAAGGCATCTGACATTTATGAGGAATTATGTCTTATTTTTAAGACACATGGGGGCATTAATTTAATTGCAGCATTTAGCAAAGGTTTTAGTTGTGTTAAAGCAGAAAAAAAAGTTCGTTCTGGGAAATATATCCCATGGCGTTTTAGACCTATTTCTATGTGTGTCTAAAAGCATGAAGTCAACTCTGTACATATTAGAGCAATTAGTTATTTTTCTTTATTAAAATAAATAAATCAATAAATGTTAGCTATCCTAGTATTCATTACTGTTTATTACTATTGATTTGACAAATATTGAGGCCTCTTTGTTCTGTCCCCTCCACTGCCCCTCTGACCTCATTCCCTGAAATGCTCCCCCATACTCAGGCCTCTAGCCATTTTTTGTTTTTTTGTTTTTTTGGTTTTTTGCTATTTCTCCAAAATGACAGGCACCATTCTACATCAGAACCTTTGCACATGTTGTTCTCTCTGCCTGGAATAGTCTTATTCCACAAATATCCACAAAGCTTGCTCCTCCTTCAGTGTTTGTTTAGATGTTGCTGTCTCAGGGAGAACTTTCCTAACCACTTAAAACCCTCTCTTCATTCCCAGAACTCTATATTCCCCTTCTTAGCTTTCAGTTTTATCTAGAGCAGGGATCCCTAAGCCCTGGGCCGCAGACTGGTACCTGTCAGTGGCCCGTTAGAAGCCGGGCCACACAGCAGGATGTGAGCAACAGGTGATGGAGCATTACCACCTGAGCTCGCCTCCTGTCAGATCAGCCAGGCATTAGATTCTCATTGGAGCTTGAACCCTGTTGCGAACTGCATGTTTGAGGCATCTAGGTTGCCATGCTCCTTATGAGAATCTAATGCCTGATGATCTGAGGTGGAGCAGTTTCATCCTGAAGCCATCCCCCTCCAACCCAACCCCATAAATGAAAAAAAATTGTCTTTCACGAAACTGGTCTCTGTTGCCAACAAGGTTGGGGACCACTGCTCTGGAACACTTACCCTCTTTCAACAAAGTGTATAATTTACACTTTAAATTGTCTGCCTTCCTCCTACTAGAGTATAAGGTCCATGAGGAGTTTGTGCCTTGAACAGTGACCATACTG